CCCCCATTTCAATTGAAATCTAACCCTTAGGAGATCTCTAAGGGACCTGGAACTTAGTGAAATCACTAGCTTCTTGCACACCCTGAGAGACCCATCAGGTAAGTTTTCAACCAAATCTTGCTTCAAGGCTTTAGTTAGGGAAGAACAAACTACTGGTCAGTACCCCTACAAGAGAATTTGGTGTGCTCATATCCCTTCCAGGGTCTGTTTTTTTGTGTGGGAAGCCAGCTTAAAGATAATCAACACTTATCACCTCCTTCAGAAAAAGAACCATGGAAGGTCTTATCTATCTCCTCATGTTTGTTGTTTCTGCCTTAAAGCTAGGGAATCTACCAACCACATCCTGCTTCACTGTGAGGAAACTAGAAAATTTTGGAACTTTTTTCTATCAAGTATCATTATTTGAATACAGCTGGGTTTTCCCAGAAAATGTGGTTGAATGCTTAAGGCAATGGTCAGGAAGAGGATTAAGCAAAAGAGGGAAAACTTTATGGCAATCTGCTGCACATGCTATTTTCTGGAGCATTTGGGAAGAGAGAAACAACCGGGTGTTTACCAATAGAACAAAAAACTTTGAGGAGTTGATTTCTCTAATATGTTACAGATGCTTCTCGTGGACTTCCAGCTCAATTTACTTCAGAGGTGTCACTTTTGATGACCTCCAAAGAAATGCTGTAAATTTTCTTCACTCTAATCAAATACAACTTATCACTTCCCGCAGTTTCAGATCTGATGTGGAAGGAGAGACGACCTTGTACTTTGATGGGAGTGCCTTTGGAAACCCAGGTGTAGCGGGTATTGGAGGTGTAATTCAAAATAGAAATGGCATTATCAGTTGGCTTTTAGTGGGCCGATTGGGATAGCCTCCTCAACAAAGGCCAAAGTCATGGCAGCTCTAACCGGCATCAGGATTGCAAAAGACATGGGCTTACTAAATCAGTAAATCTTACCATTAAAGGAGATTCAGCCAACACCACTAATTGGCTTTTTAATCCTGACAGTGGGCCTTGGGCCTTAGCTCACTACTTGGCTGAAGCGAGACTGTGAGAGACATCCTCTCTTCTTTAAATGCTGCCATCTGGATTCTGAGGGAGCTAAACTCTGAAGCTAACAGTCTAGCTAAATCTGGTGCTCACAGGGATTACCTATTTAGTGATAGTTCTCTGCCTATGTAACTTTCTGAGTGCTTAATTGTTGTGTGCATCTCCTCATGTACCTCTTTTTTATCGAATAAAGTTAACCTTCTCTCAAAAAAAAAGAGGGGTTACACCAGTTAATGAAGTTCAAAGTCCTTACAGGAATGTTCAGGGTCTGGGGGCCCCAAGGAAGCATGCAGTGGTGACAGATGCTTTAAAGAGGTCTAATCCCAGTTTTATATTGTTTCAGGAAACCGAGAAAGAATTCTGGGGATCGAGCTTCGTAAATCTATCTTTGGGGCAATTACCCAATCCTAGTCCTGACTAGTTGGGGTCTTGGGAGGGGCCAGCTGAATATGAACCTAATTTCCAGCACCTTTTGTTAGAAAACCCCAACTGGGTAGGACCCAGATTGTAATACATCATAGTGGCCACGATCCATATTGAGAAGTCCTAATCCCAACCACCTTAGGAAGAGTTCATATGGTAGGTGGTTGAGACTAGAACTCTCCCACTTAGAAGCTCCATGATTTTAGGGGTTTTGAATTGGCAAATTTAAATTTAAAACCAACCCCTATTCGGTTGAGATCATGGGGCAGTTAAGAGAGAGAAAATAGGGGATTAAATTCCATCTATTTTAGGTAGTTCCTTTATAGGAGGAAACCACCCATGACAAAACTTTATGAGGGCCCTTTTCTCCCAGTCCTGACTACCATTCTCTCATCATCCATCATAGCTCCAAAACTCATGTTCCTATCAACAAAAAATGTTGAGACTGAGGGAGAAATCAAGCTAACACTCATCAATCTAAGAACAGCAAGGAGACTCTTTCACATTACTGGTATTTGTTGGGAGAGGAACCAGATCACTAGAGGAGTTTAACAGTGGCAATGGAGTCTGGAGGTAATGTTTTATTATTTAATACTGTTTTCGTTTAGATCATGGTTTACACTGAGAAAGAAGACCTGATCAATTCAGGTCTACAATGGTTGATGTTTTCTTCCTAGAAGAGAGAGAGGAGAGAGAGAGGGGAGGAGAGAAGAGAGGAGGAGAAGAGGAGATAATGTTTTATTATTTAATACTGTTTTTGTTTAGATCCTTGTCATCAACTTTCTTGAAGTCACTCTTCTTTCCCATATTGTTACCACTCATTGCAGCTAATGCCACATGTTGCCCCCTCGGTTTTAACCATCACACTCTACCTACTTTCCTCAGACTGAACAAGGGCATAAACCTCTTGAATTGAAGGTAACTCTTTTCTTCCTAAAATCTGAACTCTAAGAGGTTCATATACGGGATTTAGTCCCAATAAGAAGGAAAAAAACCCACTGCTGAGAAACCAACTTCTTATAGGCTTTAGCATTGTCATCACATTTCCATTCTATAGCCTGATAGTGGTCCAAACTAGGGTTCCCCTGTTTACAGGTTGAAGATTTAGCTGGTAACTGGTAAATCTTGGCATAGTGCCTTTGCTCAAAATAGGTGGTTTTGGCCTGTTCCCACATTTCACTAGAAGTTTCTGCCAACATAAAGTTCTTCACATCAGGTTCCATAGCTGCAAGAAGCCAGGAAATCACCATAAAGTTTCTGCCAACATAAAGTTTGTAAAATAAGAGTAAACAGAGGAAGAAGAAGAATTTGTTATATTATTCATCAATCTTGTATGTATATATACAAGTTACAAATTCTATGTTAGGAAAGAATAT